CTAAACCCTAAACCCTAACAGACCACTACCCATTCTGACGAAAGAAACCTTGTCCAACGTCCATGATCAATAATCGGGGACCCCCCTGGCTGCAAACCCGACGCAGGGAGAGGGGTGACTCATCAGCAGTCTACAGTATGCCTTCAACCCCGCACGCGCAGCTCTGTTTACATGTTCATAGAGCCCCCCAAAACTTCAATTATATGCTAGTATTCTTACTATTACTATTACTATTACTATTGCAATTATATGGGACCCTTTGAGAGAACAAACCCAAAACCCTCCACCCAAAGTGATGGTAGCTTCTTGGGGTCCAGGAGCCTGCGTGACTTCTACAAGGCCTCCGGCATGGAGGCCTCTTTCCTGCTTCAGAGTTCTCTCATCGGGTTTTTGGGGTTTAGGGGTTTAAGGGTTTAGGGTTTAGGGGTTTGGGGCTTAGGGGTTCAGGAGTTTAGGGTTTAGGGTTTAGGGTTAAATTCCTAGGGATCAGATGTAGGGCTATGTAGGGTTCAGGGATTTCCTTGGCAATTCAACAACCTTCTGTGTGAAGTTGAGGGACTAGAATCCTACAATCCAAGAGTCACAACTGTGGCCTGCGGTTTTGCGAGGTTTTAAGGCTACAGGTTCACTGGTGAAGAAGGCTCTAGACCCTAAGCCCTAAACCTTAAAATCCCAAACCCTAAACCCTGAAACTTAAAAAAAGCTCTAGACCCTAAACCCTAAACCTTAAAATCCTAAACCTTAAACCCTAAACCCTGAGATTTTAAAAAAGGCTCTAGACTGGTTCATTGCCAGGCTTAACCAGGAGGTCCTCAAGTCGGCCTCTCGTTCGAGGCGCAAGCCTTACACGAAACTCAACCCTTCGAACTTCTGTCTGGTGCTTTGTAGGGAATGGGGGAATGGATCGCTATGATGGTCCCTTAAGGTCCCTTATAGTAGTCCCTATGACCCATTCCCACATTCCCCACCCCTAAACCCTAAACCCTAAACCCTAAACCCTAAACCCTAAACCCTAAACCCTAAACCCTAAACCCATTCCCACATTCCCTACTAAGCACCAGACAGACTTTTCGGGTTCAGGGATTTGGGTCCTTTACAGGGGCCCAGGGGCTCGGGTTTAGGTCTGCAGTAAGTAATCACTTTACCATACATACCGATACATACATATATATATATATATATATGTAATACAATACCATATATACATATATATATATATACATATATATGATAACTCATCAAATATGTGTAAATATGTATACGTATACATATCTCTATATATATATATAGATAGATATGCATGTATGTATGTATGTATGTATGTATGTATGTATGTATGTATGTATGTATGTATATGTCAACATGCATGTAAAGTAATTTGGAGGGCTGGGAAGCCTTGTGCTGGCCCGCGCTGTAGGGGGGATTTACCTGCCGCCGCACTCTACAGCAGCGCCCAAGCGCAAGGCGGCACCCACTGCTGCGGTAGACTCCACGCAGCCTGCAGCAGCGCCCAAGCGCCAGCAACAAGCGACTGCTGCGGCAGAATCTCCAGCAAAGAAGGCCGAGGGCATCCTTCATGAGCTGCGAACGGTGCTGCGAACGGTCAGCCGTCTTGCCACCGAAGCCGACTGGGCTTTGGCGAACCTCGTGGAGGACTTGCCGCAGTAAAGGACGAAAATGAAGAGCGAGACTGCAGGGGTTGCAGCGGTCTTTCTAGATCGGCGAGAGTCGCTGCATGTTCGAGGGCCACACCTTTACACAATGGACCCCCGAAGCGTCTCGCTCATCCCACACCAGAACTTGAAGTCACAAACCCCCAGCCCGAGCGCCAAGCCCTAAGCCCCAATATCTCCACCAATCTCCAACCCCGAGCTTCATACCCTGAGCCCTCGAAGCAACGTAGGTTCGTAGAGCACATCCTTGAGTTCAATACCGCATTCGCGGAGCACTGCTAACCCTGATAGAGTCTTGCAACAAGTCTCATAGCTCATAGCCCTTGCACAGCTCTGCATTGAACCGTATCAATCAACACTTAGTAACCATGATACCGGCATTCGACACCTCTTGACTCAGGGAACCCTTTCTCAGTCTCCTTCCTGTGCCCTAAACCCTAAACCCACGACCCTACACCCTGTGGCAGGTGACTTCGGGCGAGCGCAAGGGAGCCGCGGGAGGCCTATGACGTTTTCTCGCGGGGTTTTGGGGGATTGGGGTTTAGGAGTTCCGGTTTAGGGGGGTTTAGGGGGTTTAGGGGGTTTAGGGTTTAGGGTTTAGGAGTTCGAGTGTTTTGGGGTCAAGGATTTGTCTTCAGGGCCTGTTTTTTCGGGTTTAGGAGAGTTTAGGTTGAGGGATCAGGGATTAGGAAGGGGGGCTTTAGGGTCTGGCATATCCTGATTACAAGCCGGACGTATCGCCTACATACACCTACAAGCCCTAAGCCCTTAAGCCCCTAAAGCCCTACCCTGAACGGCCCTAAACCGGGTGGGCCTATGGGCGGAGAAAAGGCTACTGGACTTTGAAGCAAACGCCCTGGACCCCCTGTAGTCACATGGCCTTGGAGACCCAAGACATCCTAAACCCTAAACCCTAAATCCTAAACCTTGAAACCTTTCAGGGTTTAGGGCTTATCTAAAGTAAAAAAATTTACGTGTTTTTTTTTTAACCCTAAACCCTAAAACCCTAAAATTCAAGGGACCCAAAACCCGAAACCCACAAACCTTCGGACCGAGGCCCTCTTTCAGGGGTTTAAGGGGGGTTCAGTCGGGGTTTTCGGGGGTTTAGTCGGGGTTTAGGGGTCTAGGGGGTTGAGGGGTTTAGGGGGTTTAGAGGGTTTAGGGGGTTGAGGGGTTTAGGGGGTTTAGAGGGGTTTAGGGGGTTTAGAGGGTTTAGGGGGTTTAGGGGGTTTAGGGGTTTAGGGGGTGTGGGGGGGTTTAGGGGTTTTGGGGACAAGCATTACCTTGGTCTCTGGGACTCCCTCAGAGAAACCCGCCTTGAGGACTGTTCCTGAGCCACTGCTTAAAGGATCATGGGACTTAGTAAGTAGGGTTATAACTCCCTTAATTGGGGTTATAAGTATAGTTACCCTAATTATAACCCTACTTACTAAGTCCCATGATCCTTTAAGTGGGGGTCCTTTGGCGAATGGGTGCCCTAGACAAACCATCCTTTAGACACCCCTCTAAGCAAACCTTCTACATGTGTAGGACGCCCCTCTTGAACCACCCTTAAAAGCATCAACCCTGAGCCCTAGGCCCCAAACCCCTAAACCTCTAAACCCCTAAGCCCTCAAATCTAAAGCGCCCGAACAAACAAACGGCAACCAACAGCCCGCAGGCGTCATTAGCCGCCTTGAGGAGACGCTCCGGTGGTCTGAGAAAAACCTTAATATAGTACCCTTAGTACTTGTAGCAGCCTTCTAATACTCTTATAGTGCCCTTAAAGTGCCCTTGTAGCAGCCTTCTAGTACCCTGATGGTGCCCTCGTAACACTCTTTATTCGCTTCGGGCTTTCTGGGCTGTCGGGCCTTGGGCGGGTTGTTCGGGTTTAGCTTTGGGTTTGGTTTTGTTTCGGTGCTTGTTTGCGGGTTTTTGCGGTGTTTCGCAAGGGTTTTGGCGGGTTGTCGGCTTAAAACCCTAAGCCCTAAACCCTAAACCCTATGGGTTTAGAGTTCGTTGTTTGGAGCTGGGGGTTTAAGGTCTCGAAGTTCTGGGCTTCTAGGGTTTCTCGGCTGCGGGTGAGTGTAAACTAGGCTGTACGGGAAAGCTTTTCCGGGTCAGGCTTAAGAACAACATGCTAGAATAGGCTTTAAGGTTTTAATTGGGAGTCTTTTCTGCTTTAAAGGCTACTGACTCCTGTTCTTGCTAAAATCATGAGCACGAAAATAAACTATTGTCCGTTTCGTTTGAGCAAGTCCTCAAGCCCTAGTAGAAGCCGTAGTAGAATCCCTGTGGTACACAAACAAACTGAATACACTAACAGTTCCAAACTATACGAAAATGTTCGGTGATACACGTAGATGCAGATTTCTTATAAATGCAAACATACATATGCATAGCCTTTAAGGCACCGCGAAGAAACTCTAACCAGCACTTGTGTTGGCTTCATTTGGTCTCTTAGAGTCCCCCCGGCCCAGCTATGCGCAGGATGTGGAGGCTGACATGGCTATGAGCTTGAGCCAGATGTGCCTTCGATGACTTTGGCAACAGTTGCGGGGCCGCTTTATAACCCGAAACTAAGGCTTATGTAGAAGCCTAATACTAGTAGTTGCCACCGTTGCCCTCTAGGGTTCCTTATTATACGTAGATACAAGAAAGGAGCCCCAAACTATTCTGACTATCAAGGTTTCCTATACTACAACCCTAAACCCTAAACCCCAAAGAGAGTCCCTCAGCCCTAAACCCTAAACCCTAAACCCTTAACCCTTAAAAAGGAGACTCCCTAAACCCTAAACCCTAAACCCTTAAAAAGGAGAGTCCCTAAACCCTAAACCCTTAACCCTTAAAAGGGAGAGTCCCTCAGCCCTAAGCCCTAAACCCTAAACCCTTAAAAAGGAGAGTCCCTCAGCCCTAGACCCGAAACCCTAAACCCTAAACCCTTAACCCTTAAAAAGGAGACTCCCTAAACCCTAAACCCTAAACCCTTAAAAAGGAGAGTCCCTAAACCCTAAACCCTTAACCCTTAAAAGGGAGAGTCCCTCAGCCCAAAGCCCTAAACCCTAAACCCTAAACCCTTAAAAAGGAGAGTCCCTCAGCTCTAGACCCGAAACCCTAAACCCTAAACCCCTAAAAAGGAGAGTCCCTCAGCCCTAAACCCTAAACCCTTAACCCTCAAAAAAGGAGAGTCCCTCAGCCGTAAACCCTAAACCCTAAACCCTAAACCCTTAAAAAGGCGAGTCCCTCAGCCCGAAACCCTAAACCCCAAACCCTGAAAAAGGAGAGCCCCCTCAGCCCTAAACCCTAAACCCTAAACCCTTAACCCTCAAAAAAGGAGAGTCCCTCAGCCGTAAAGCCTAAACCCTAAACCCTAAACCCTTAAAAAGGCGAGTCCCTCAGCCCGAAACCCTAAACCCCAAACCCTGAAAAAGGAGAGCCCCCTCAGCCCTAAACCCTAAACCCTAAACCCTTAACCCTCAAAAAGGAGAGTCCCTCAGCCCTAAACCCTGGACCCCAAAGAGACTCCCTCAGCCCTAGACCCGAAACCCTAAAACGCCTAGGCGCTCCTCCGAGAAGACCGTGCGAGACCCGGACATCGCGGTCGCCGTCGGGTTAGTAACATCCGGGGCCTTAAGTGTTTTGAGTAGGGTTTAGGGTTTAGGGTTTAGGGTTTGAGTAGGGTTTCGGGGTACTGTAGACTAGACTATACTTGTAGAGAGAGGAATCGCTCTAATTAAGCAGGGGGCCTTAGATGTTTAGAATAGGGTTTCGGGGTATAGTAGAGTGGACTATACATGGGAGTTTCCGAAAATAAGGGGTACCGCATTTTGGGGGTCCTTATAATAAGGATCCTCCTATTTAGGGTACTATATTAGGGTCCCCTATTTTTGGAAACCCCCAAATACCTCGAGGGGCTGGGCGGTTTGAAGGGGCGGTGGGCTTGGGGTCCAGGTTGTTTTTCTCGATGGCTGGATTTGCGGGTCACAGCTTGGCCTTCGAATCATTCAGCGTTTAGGGTTTCAGGGTTTAGCTTTTAGCTGTTTAGGGTTTCGGGGTTTAGGGTTTCGGGCTTAGGGTTTCAGGCTAAGTTTCAGGGTTTGCGGGGGGTAGAGTCGCTGGTGGCTGCTAGGTGCTTTAGGACGTGGGCTTAATGTCTCCAAACTCTACGCTTCGCTTCCTGCGCCATCCCTGCAGTATACGCACAGGTGTAGGGTAGCGTTTGGGACTAGGGCTAGGGGTTTAGGGCTTCAAGGTTTAGAGTGCAGGGTACGATAGACAGTAGCGCCGCATCATCTGTTTTGGCCCCGGCGCTGTGAATGGAAGTTCATTTCAAGAGCGGGCTCAGATGAACCAAAGGGCCTGACATGGAGGTCTGAGTAATATAGGGGCCTTAATAATTAGAACACGGTTTGGGGTATATTACCCTATAATTATAATAAGGAACTCCCAAAACCCTATTCTAACTATTAAGGCCGCTACAGTCATGTGCATTGCTCTCCGGCTATCCCCTTATTGCAGTCCCTCTCAAATTCGAAGCCACAACGTCAAGATCCCTAAACCCTAAACCCTAAACCCTAAACCCTAAACCCTAAACCCTAAACCCTAAACCCCCCACAGCCCCAGGCCGAATCAGGAAGGCCTCAGTTGCCAGGCTGCGTGTGACGGGTGAGGAGCGCTAGCAAAGTGAGATCTTTCAGAAAACCCTAAGCCGTACACTTTGAATCCCAAACCGCAGCCCAAAACCCTGAACCGTAAACCCTAAACCCTAAACCCCGATATAGGACCCCTTATTCACATAATGGGGGAAGCTCCAAATCCTCCGGAACGAGGCAGAGATGGGTTTCAAGAAGGACATGCAGGACATGAAGGTCGAGCGGTCGCAGAAGGCGTGACCCTCTGGCTTCGGGGCTCTAGGGTCTAGGGTTTAGGGTTTAGGGTTTAGGGTCTAGGGTTTAGGGTTTAGGGTTTAGGGTTCAGGGTTTAGGGTTTAGGGTTCACCCTAAACGCCCTGAGCAATGCCCTACACGCTAGGCCCCAAGGGTCAAGGGTTTGCATGGTGTAGGGTTTAGGGTTTAGGGTTCAGCATTTTCCTGGTTTAGGGCCGGTTAGGGTTTAGGGCTTTCACTAAACCCTAAACCAACCCCTACGCCCTGAACCCTATCTAACGTCGACAGGAGCCCGGAGCTTTGTACAAGTATTCCAAAGCACCTGAAGCCCGACATAAAGTGCCAGCCTCTGTAAGCCTTGATAAAGACCCCAAGCCCTAAAATCCCACAGCCCAAAATCTAGAGCCTAAACCTCAAAGCTGAGTCCTTGTTGGATACAAGTTTTAAATTTTTGTTATAATAAAAGCCATAAGAATTAAAAGATGATCATTTTTAACATTGCCCCAACAGGGAACCAGAAATCCCAAAGCCCCAAAAAAGCCCTAAACCCTAAACCCTAAACCCCAAAAAAGCCCTAAACCCTAAACCCTAAATCCCAGAGCCCCCAAAAAAGGTATGGCCTAAACTCTTCAACCCCGAGCCGCAACCTTGGAAGTAGCAGAGCCTCCCCCCGGAAAGGTCAAGCCTTCTTTGGGCGTGTTATCCTAGCATTCTATTGGGATTATGGTTTAGGGTTTAGGGTTTAGAGTTTAGGGTTTAGGGTTTAGGGGTTAGGATTTAGAGTTTAGGGTTTAGGGTTTAGGGTTTAGAGTTTAGGGTTTAGGGTTTAGAGTTTAGGGTTTAGGATTATGAGGGGATGGAGTTGCAACCGAAGTGGACCCCACAGTATGTGACAATACACCCGACGAGACCTCTGAGATTTAAAGCAATTTCAGAGCCAAGCCCGAGCCAAACTCCTGAATGGTTAGACTAGAAGATCTCGAAGATCAAGGCTAGCTAGATTAGACATCCTTCACCCTGATATTGAGTTTGACGGCTTGATGGCTCCGCACTCTTAGCAAGTAATGTTTGAGTTTGGATTCCTAAGCCTCAAACACCCTCAATTCCCCAAATGCAAACAAACCCAACTCAAGTAAATCTTCTATGCTAAGCTTCCTCGCCCTGACAACTTGACAAACCCTCAGCCCTAAACTAAGTTCCGAGGCCCAGGCCTCAAACTTCGACGAACATGAGTCCTAGGTAGTATTAGGGAGACCCCTTAAAGGGAACCCTTCTTGACCCTCTTCATGGCTCTCTTAAGGTGGACCTTATTGAGAGGGTCTATATCCCCAAGGGTCCCCCTAATCCTAACTCCTAATAAGCATGGCGCCGTTTCTCAACTGTATACCCAGTCCCATTCTTAGGGTGCCGACATGATCGGCCTAAAGTTTTGGTGTTTCAGGCTCGGGGCCAGGGTCCGGGTTTAGGGTTTAGGGTTTAGGGTTTAGAGTTTAGGGTTGAGAGTTTAGCGTTTAGGGGTTTATAGAAATTGTTAAGGGTTTCGGTGCCAATAACGTTTTGTGCGAAACGTTTTGACCGAAAGTTTTGACCGAAAGTTTTGACCGAAACGTTTTTCTTTGCAAACCATGTTTTGAATTTGGTGAGCGGGGGCTGGGGCTGGGCTGGGCTGGGC